CCCCCCCCCCCCCCCCCCAAAAAAAAACCAGCTACACACGTAAAAGGCCTTTACACACCAGAATAAACAACACAAAAGTGTGAAATGCTCGCCTGTGAATATTCAATGTCTAGGGCTTTTATTCTGAAAGGGAAGAAGAGAAGGAGTAAATCTGGTCTCTGCTGCCTTCGTCAAGGTTGAAAGGAGTAATAAAGTTTGCCATCTTGTTTTCGGACAACAGCGCCTCTGTGTTGCTGTTTCATTCAAATACACCCGCAACTCAACCCGTTCTGCACAACTTAAATGGTTGATGACTTTATTCACGGAGCAAAAGCTCAGATAAATCAACCTTGTGAGGGGAAAAAAAGGACGGCGCTTTTTTTTTGTCAAGTAATATTCGCGTTCTTCGTGAAAGAACTCCCCTGATGTGTAAAGGCCTTGAGGTGGATGCCAATTAAAAAGTTTTAACAATCGCTGTTTAAAGTGGAACTCCACCAATTTGAATAAAAGTCAGTTTACTCCTCATGAGGAGTCAGTTTACTCCTCACGAGGATTATTACGAAGCGGTTGAAAACGGTTGTTTTAAGTCTTTAGTGGCCCTGAAAAGTAAACCCCTAGTGATGTCATCAGGCTTATTTCAGCTGGGGCTCGGAGACCTTTACAAAGCGTTACAAACGTTTAAAAGACACGAGGGAGAGTGCAACCAAAAAAACTACAATCAAGATGAATTATGGGAAAGTATGTTTTTGGAGTTTGACCCAAACTAGGAACAAAAAGTCAGGATATCTCAGCCTCTCTCATGTCGGTGCGGTAAATACGAAGTTACTTACTTAAGTTACTTGACGTTAGCTTAGCCCAAAGGCTGGAACTAGCTAGCTTGAGCCGGATCAGCTCCCCCGACAGTCTAAATTAAAAACATTAAATAAAACCAACCCTGGCATGCATTGCAGGGCTTCTACACTGTTCTATAAAGTGCATCCTTCATTATTTTTTTTTCACTCTCAGCCCACATTACTCACACCACACCACAAATCCTATTGATGTACATGATTCAGGTTGTTCAAACAGATGATTCACTAGAACCAACGTGCATCCACTGTGTGATACACAAACGGTGACAGAGTTGAATCAGCAGCAGAGGGGCCCACGCCAAAACACACACTCACCTACCGGACCCGGTCTCTTTTTAATAAATGACATGCAGTGTTAGCGGTGTGTTTGATATCCCAACAACTGAGGAGGAGGAGGAGGAGGAGGGCGAGAGAATGAACTTTTACTATAATGTGTGTTAGGTGAGGGTTTTGGGAAGGGACCGCTGGGTAACGACAAAAGAGACCCGCTGTTTCCTCAGAGCAGGAAGCAGAGGAAGCTCCCTATCAGCGTGTGACGGGAACGTAAGGACGATATACTGCAGCGCCATGTAGCAGTGTATTTAAAAAGGGCGTGGGACCGAGTCCTCCCTTAACGCGCCGTTAATAATCAACTCTGAAATATCCCGGCTGTTAAACTCACGTGAGAGCGTTTCAGGGTATTTGTTGACGATCCCACTGCACAGCTGCTGGCCTCTGCTTTGTGTATCATGGAAACATGGCTCGCCTGATAACGCACCACATGGTCCTCACACACACACACACACACACACACACACACACACACACACACACACGTACGGTGAATACGCCGAGCTCCAGCGCATGTTTTCCACTTTTTTTTTTCTTTTTGGTGTCATGGAAATATACCTCTGATCTTTGAGCAAACGCGCACACGCCTTCCGCACACTTGGTCGCCCAGGGGACGCTGCTTTGGGTCGGCAGGCTGATGTAAACGCAGGTGATGCGTGTTTTTATTTTTTATTTTTTAAAGATCCCGGTCCCGGTGACGTCTCTGACCACGCAGGGTCCTGATGTAAACCCCGGTCCCCATCTATCACCACACACACACACACACACACACACACACACACACACACACACGAGGGAGCAGCTTTTATTTACTGGCTGGGAGTTGATTATAGCAACCCCCGCAGGTGGGACGGTCTATTTGGTTAGATGCCCAATTACGCTGCCAAATATGTGTTCATCTCTGCGCGGGCGAGATAAAGGATGGACCTGGACTATTTGCCACTTTTAATGAAGCAAAAATAAGCCCCGGACTGAAGGCAGAGTTTGACTGTGACGTTGGAAAGAGTGAAGAGAACATAAGAAGGGCGAGCGATGTCGTCTCTGACAGGAGGATTTACTTTGACCGTTTCCGTGAAGCGAGAGGTAATCATTTGGGCCGATCACCCACAGCAGCCCCGGCTGTAATGGAACATTCATAACCCTCAATGGCCTCTCTGGTTACCTGGGCAACCCACTCCTCCTCCTCACTGTGAGGAAAACATCAGACAAACACACACACACACACACACACACACACACACACACACACACACACACAC